TAACTGACAATTGAAGAAACGGCAATTGGTAAGTCAAACGATGTGCGCTATATAAAAGTTGAGTTCACTTTAAACTTGTGTATACAACACAAACTGTGAAATTGACGTTTATATAACATAAATAATATTATATATATAATAATATATATTATAATATTATATATAATAATATTATATAATATTTATTAATCAACATATGCATGAATCAATATACAATTCCTTTTTTCATATAAAATACCACCTTTTACCTGGTCCTAAGTTAGGGAATTGCCCGAAGTACAAGTACCAGAGAAAGAAGTTAGCTGCGCGAGACAAATTAACCCGGAACACTCAAATTAGATCAATTTTCAAAAGTACATTTTCCAAATTTAATTTAACGAGAATTGGCCCATAGTGCTAGCTACTGGGCCTTCAGATATTTCTACTTCAGCTTCAGCTACTTCGTCCATCTAGCATTCTAAGCATTCTAAGTGCAACAGCGGGAAGAATTGTAAAATTCTGCGTAGAACAAATTAAAGGCGTAGCCCAATTTATAGTGTAGGTATAAATTAAGTCTGCATTGTGTTATACTAACCTTATTCTTAAATTCTCGTACTACCATACTATAGATATTTTTAATGGTCCGATATAAAGAATTATTATTATTAAAAACCATTTTAAAAAAAAAGAAATAATAAATAAAAAGCTCATTTATTCCCATGAGGCGGGCTGAGGGGAATCCATAAAATCTTTAGTTTATTTTCGACACACGAATTGTGAAAATAATGATAGTTTGGAGCATTGCGAAAAGTTTCAAGCTGCAATTCTGTTAAAAAAAAGGTGGTTTGTTCGAAGCAACGGTTGACCAACCGTGTTTCTTTGCAAGACTAGCAATCGCACAATTGCACTTCGCACCTACTACTACAGTTTTTCTTTTTTATGATACTAGGAGACGGAACGAACAAGCCGTGCGCCTGATGGTAGGCGACACGCCTGTCTGTGGGAGTTGCAATTTAAATTGCAAACTTTAAATTGCAAAGATCTAAAGGGCCCTGCCATTGCGCCCGTCAACTTTCGAGATAAGCTCTCAAGTTCCATGTGCCTATAATTTATCCTGCCCCCTTACCCTTCAAAACCGGAACGGAGTAGTGCTCATATTACAGAATTAGGTAAGGTGACTCTGGACAAACTCTTTCCCAAGAAGTTCCACTGCTAGTAAATTGCCGACAATTTTCTTTGGGTTTCTTTTTGACACTATTCGGGCTAGTCGCCAGGCTCAAGAGGCCGCGTTGATCGTTTGCGATTATCACAAAAAATCCATTTTTCACCACAAGTCAATTTATACGGTGTCTTCTCTCTCTTTCTCTGTCAATTCTATAAGTTACGTTGCCCGTTGTAGGTCGAACAATTCGACAATTTTTTATTTTATTTTAGTGATTTAATATCAAATAGGTCAGTATTGCGGATATAATTATTCAAACTTACGCAGCTAATTTCTCCGTGGTTTGCGTTGGAGCTTCAACGAATGCTCGCAACTTTGAAATTCAGATTAAGCTCTGGTTGCTCACGAGGTTCATTTGTCAAGCGAACACAGCTTTTGCAAGTAGCATCCGCTGCAAACATGTCGTCAAAGTTTCGGGTCGTTAGCATGAATTGAAACATTCAATGCGAATGTAAAATTTACGGAAGAGAAAACAAATGGGCATCAGGAAATTTGAAATATGTTATGCACGAGTTTACTGTGACAGTTGCCTGTAGCGACCGCGTAAATTACTTCACAATTTGGTATGGCCAATTTTATTTTTTTCTATCCTCTAAGGGCAAATTATACAGCGCCCCTAACAGTTACAAGAAGAAACAACATTTTGTATACAAACATCTAGCTAGCGATACTTGTCACAGCAATGTCACGGTAGAGGCACAGTGGCTCAAACATATTATTTGAAGAAAATCTAATCAGAATCTTACAGGAATGAGAAGACTTTATTTCATAACAATCTGGCGAGAGCTTTGTAATTCCGCTACTGTATTATTTATCAACGAGATAACGAACAAAGCGCAAGCATTATTTATTCAACATCGTTTTTAGAACATTAATGGGGTAGAATTAAACGAATAACAGTTTAAATTAATACATTAAACAATCTGAACTCTTGAAATGAAATTCAAGTCCCAAAATATAAACAAAGGTGATGCCATTACAAAAAAAGATTTTAAGAAAAAAGGATTACATAAATTATTTATTACATTGTTGTTGAATTGTGTGCATATGAAGTAGCTTCAGGTGCAATTCAGTGGTACACAGACGCACAGCAAAAACTATAAGCCCTAGAAACACGGAAACTTGAGGGTATTTTACTTTTATTTAGTATAGGCGTAATAAGAACGGATTTTTCGAAATTCAAAAGCCCCTAAGGGTGAACGAGGGTAAAGATGTTTGTATGACAAAATTGTATTCTGTGAAAAAACAAAATATGAAACTTGCATAAAGTTTAATTACCATCAAGTAGACGCGTAATAAAGTCTGGATGGGAAGTTTTTAACGCATGGTGCGAATTGCTTCAAACTTTGTTTGGATACTTTAAATATATACAAAATAAACACACACGTGGTTTTCAACAACTCGATAAAAGGGGTAAGTTAGGGAATCGAAACCTTTTCTATAGAAAATCGTATTTCTTACATTTAAAACTGGAATATTTTTAATTTGTGTTTCGGTAGTATAAAGTGTTTTTTTTTTTTTAATGGGACTGAATGGAGAAATCTGATACCAAAGAAGGTACAAAGAAACTGTCTTAGGAACCAGTAAGTCGTGTTTTGTGAAAACAACTTTGCCGTGGTCAAAAATTTTTTTAGTGTTGATCGACCTAGTTTCATAAAGAGATTATTTCATTGTATGGGACGAAAAAAATCGAGACAGCCGAAGTTGGTAAATATTTCATAAAATGTTTTTAATACAAAATGAATAATTGACTAGTTTTTTTAATGCTAACTAGACTCAGTTTCTTAAAAGTATGATTTCATAGTATGGGAAGATGAAAGGCGGGACAGCGGAAGTTGGTCAAATTTCACAAAATGTTACTCATTTTGTATGAAAAAAAACTTTTTAATAAATTACCCCGATTTTTTCTTCACATAAATGAAATCACACTTATAAGAAACTGAGTCTAATAGACTCATTAAAAAAAACTAGTCAATTTTATGAATATAAATAAAATAAAATTTTATGAAATTTGACCAACTTCGACTGTATCGCTTTTTTTCCTCCCATACAATGAAATGATTTCTTCATGAAACCGAGTCAATAAGCACAAAAACAATTTGATCAAATTCATTAATTTTTGTTGATAACTCACGCTTGACCAAAAGATTATTATGCCAAAATTGTTTTCACAAGAAAAAGTGGTTCCCAAGACAGTTTCTTTTTATCTTTTATGGTTTTGAATTTTCCCATTTAAAAAATACTCTGTATAATTAATTCATGTAAAAATTTTACCGCAAATGACCACAAGTTACACATGAAAATAAGGGAATTTATGAGTCTTTTGTTACAAATGTGATTAAATAACATAATCCAAAAACCGGAACAAAACTGGAGCACAATGTTTTTCTTTTTGGGATAGTTTAAAAAAAAAAAGGCATTAAATAAGTGGATCCACTATGGTGGAAATGAAATGTCGCAAGGGAAAATGATGTCTGAAAAAGCATACATATAATGTAAAATTAAATTTTGTATAGATGTCTCATCCTGCTGTGGTACAACAAACACCCAGACTCGAGACAATATAGAAAAGTTGGTTTCTACACTGACCCGGCTGGGAATCGAACCCAGGCCCTCAAAGATGGCGACACTATGAAAACCGGTGAGAGAAGAGGTGAGGTTTGTCAGGAGCGTAATGAAATGGAGACTCTGCCTACCCGCATGGAAAACAGGCGTGATGGCATGTGAATATAAGATGTTTCTTATTTGAATACTTTTTTACTGGAGCAACAAATAAGTTACAAATAAAAATTAAACCAAAATGGCAATAATGTAAAAAATGAAGTTTAGGCCGTGCTGTAACGAGTATGGCAAAGATCAATTTGGAAATATGTCGGGAAAATTCGCTAAGCAGCAAATTAAAAAACTATCTAACATTTAAGTGTTATTATAAAAGCGTATGACCAGCCTAAACCTACTGTACTATTTTTTAGTGCGATCCGGTAAAGGGATTTTTTTTAACAGTAGCTAATGTTCTAAATGCCACTGAATGATTGATCTTCATACATACAAATTTATTTTGCAAACTAACAAATTCATTCGCAACAGCCATGTCATATTGATTATTTACAAGAATATAACAACAATTAAGCTAAAAAAAGATTGTATAATTCTTATAACTCAGTTTACAAATAAAAAACAAGAACAAAGCATAGGCATAAAATGAAACAAAGTATGTGCCTATGCAAACAAAGAAATTTGATAATAAAAGGAGTGAATGACACAAAATATAACAAAAACAGGTTAAAAAGTGGTATAGAGTAGGCATTAGGGCTGCACTGGGGCAATTTAAAGTAGGTTACCTAAAAAGGCAGTGCCCTAAATATACTTATCTACCTGCTGTTATTTCTTGACATACTTCCATTTATGGACTATAAAATTATAACATTTTAAATTTTATCATTCACGTAATAAGAAAGATGTAGAGGTCCCTTCCAAAAACTTCGTAACAGTGTAGTGGCATTGAATAGTCAATGCTGGATGCCTGACCTACATAATTTCTACACGGTGACTGGATCAATACCTCCAAATCTTCGTGCTTATGCAACATCGCGTAAATTTTGCTATTAAACAACCAATTACAATACAGTGAAAAACAATTTTCAAACGCAACAGTAAAAAGACTTTCGCAATTGCCGTAGTTTGAAACCATCAAATAAGTTTTTAAAAGTTTACACAAATTTCTGCAACCAGTCTGGAGCCCGATGAAAATAAATGCTGAACAAATAAAGAATGTAAACAAAGATGTTTGCATAAATACCTTTGTTTCTCCCCATCTGCGGCTTGATCTCCTCCAGTTGCAGTCGCATCCTTGGTACTGGTTGGAGTCGGCACTTCCTCGTCCTGCGGCTCACCCTTAGCAGCCCCCATCCACGAAGTAACTTGATTGGTAATTCCCGAAAACATTTTGAGTTCTGACACTAGCTAAGTCAACTACGGAAACACTCGGCGGAATTCACTGAGCGACGAGAGTTATGATCATGACACGAGAGCAGCGTCTGGCACGCGGCCGCAGAATGCGTGATCAGCTGAAAAACTAAGTGTAAAACGGCAATCGACCAGCGAAAATGATGAAAATTCACTGCGCATGTATGGATTGGAAACATGCGCCGTTCTATTTGCGCTGTACTCCTACAACTCGGGTTGAGTTAAGGCAAATACAATACAACAATACAAACGGGAATGACGTCTAGCTAGTGAAAGCGAGATGCTAAATACGAATATGAAGTTAGAGTAAAAGAGAATACAACATGTTATCAACTCGCCTAGCTTTTCAAGTAAATATGCGTCTTTCTGAGTTTTGTCGCTGCTCATATGAAATAAAAAATTGAATAATTTCGGAATCATAAGAATCTATAAAACATAACATTACTTTTTTATTTTAAGTTGTTTGCAAATATCATGTATTATGGCAATTCATTTGATCACTGGAAACACTAAAATATCATGAATCAATGCCGTGCAATAAATTAACAAAACGCAATCCATAAACTGCAGACAATCCATAGACTCCTAAACCATCCTCCAGTGGTGGCTAAGAATAATACTAAAATCGTTCCATACAATTTGACAGCCGTTTTTACCCGCAACTCCCCTTCTCATCTGTAACAGCGCTACATCCATCTTCAAACTTTATTGTTGTCTAGTCACAAGGAACTTTTCGTAAGGCTGTCCAAAATTCGAATAATTTTATATCGACATGTAGTTTCGCAACATAGCCTACGGCACTGTATCGATTTCAAACAAGCTTTGAAAGAATTGTATCACTTTAGCTAGTGAATGCGGTCGGAATGCTGTCTTTGTTGACGCAATAGCAAATATTACTTAAATAACCTAAACCTACCTAAAGATCTAAATCTGACAATTCAATCGCAAGCATTTTCTACACGTATCGACATTTTATTATTCAGGAATAGGAAATTTCGTAACGATACTTAGGCTTAGCTCACACTGGCGCAGAGTCAAAGCGTCGCGACGCGTCATGTTTATCGTCTATAGTTTAAGCACCTCTATTTTCCCATTATTAAGGTACAAATTTGTGCTATGCAAACATGAAAATGGGAGTCGACACGCATCGACGCTTGGATGCGGTCTGCGCCAGTGTGAGTTGAGCTTTAGAATAATGAAACAGAAAAATTCTACTTTCAAAAGTAGATAAACAATAATAGCTAAAAAATATTTTTTACAATAGGCTATTAGGTCCTACATACTTAATGTGAAAACAAATTACAAAAGGTAATTCATTGAAATGGTATTATTTTATTGTAACATCATCCATTAAAAGGAGTTTATCTATGTGATTCTTTTCGAATAGGAGTGTAGGTTTTCGTAGAATCTATGTGTATTACTTACAGAAAAATCGCAGATTTTTCGTTTCAAGTTCGGTACGGTGAGCAAGATTTTTAATTTTCTCACGTTTCACAACTGCCTGTATGTACGTACATCTCTCGTAAGTGTTCAAGTTTTGACGCGCGTAAACTGTTAATACCTACCATATGTATTGGACGCTTCATGTTTTATTTTTAAATCTTCTGCTGGATTGACCTTTTTAATGAGTACTATGCTTCTTTCTTAATGCATGTTTTTGGAGAACAAACACTCCATACCGCATTAGAAACATTCCTCTTGTTAATCCGCTGTTTCCATAGTGCGTATGTAGCACTTCTGAATTTTTCGGTCGGAGACTATGTAATTATGTACTTTAACTAAATAACTAATAATAAAAATATTTAAGTAAATAACGTTTGTACACACTCAACATTTACAATATATATTTTTTATTTATTTGAAACATTAGAGATCGAGACTACCTCCATGAGCTAAACGGGTTGCTACCACGGATTTTTGTCATCCAAGTACGCAGAAGTTGTATAACAACCTTTAGTATAAAGTTTTTGTTTCAATCGACATACAGTTTCATGTTAAACCGCCAACCGCGTGCTTTGACACAATTTCACTCATTTTTTTAACAATTAAATAATATAAACGTATATCGAATTGCCGCATGTTCATAATATCGATAAGATAAAATCGACACATATCGGACATCCTTAGTCCACTTTTCAATGAAAAAAAAATGACGTTTCTGATACTACACGATGTTGTAGTGCATTCGTGATTTTTTATTTTCACCTACAATTTTGCAATAATCATATCGGAATCCTGATCAGATGTAGTGATTGTGATCGTTTGATTCATTCAATTGAACACCAAATTCCACAGGACATCAAAATTCAATATGACTGAAGGCAGGAGAATACAGCTTCACCTCGGGAAGTGCATCGAGGATTTGGACAAGCTGCATAATGTTCCAGATTTAAAGACGAAAAGGACTCAAATGTGAGTATTTCTTTGACAATAACATTGATCGAGCTTGAAATACATTTCAGATGTAAATATTCGAGATGTATATGAGTGTTTGACATGGTCGTTTGTTCGAAGGCTATGTAAAACTGCGCTGAAACTTTTCGAGAAGGCGGAGCAGGACCGCGAGCGTGGCGACGAGGAGAACTCTTACGTGTACTACATGAAATACCTGCGTGTCATCGCGTTCTTGAGCAGCGACAAGGATTACCTGAAGGACAAGTCCTATTACAATAACATGCTGGGCATCAAGAATCCCAACAAGGCCATTGACGCTGCAGAAAAACTCAAGAAAAGTCTCATTGAACGGTGAGTTGTGTTTCTTTTGATACCATTCTATGAAGAGTACCACAGTAAATGTGAGGCATTTTCAAGGTCAGATCTGTTTATAATATGTTACCTTTGCTATTATTGTTTCTAACACTTCCGGATGGCAAATAAAATCTGAATTGGAACCCAAAATGTCTAAAGTTAGGTGGCAAAAGTGAAACCATGTATCTCAGTCTACCTATTTTCTGCCATTTTAGCAAATGTCTAAGCACCATTACATATTTGCAATGTTTTCAGTGCAAGAGCTTAAATCACTATATGGAAGCTTTCAATTTATTTTATAATTTTTTCTCTCTATGTTATGGTCTATTCCTCTTGAATATATATCAGCTGGGATATATAGCACATTGAAATCATTACTATTATTAATTGAATTATTCAACTTTTCGAAAAGAAGTGTAAATTTTAAAAAGCGACACTTCTGTTTATTGGTGGTATAATTTATTGTGCTATATAATGTAGTAACCTTTCTGCCTATGTGTTTAGTCTTGCAATGTAAGCCATATGACTCTACTTATGTTGCGTAACAGAACTCCAATTACAATGCTTACCTTATTTCAATACCTCCAATGAATACTACGTGAATGAAATTTTTGGGGTTGTTCTGCTTTTAATGTTTTTCTTTCTTTATTTTATTTTTTCACAAAATTTGGGGAGCATAATATTAGTAAATAAATATGGCTGTTTACAAAAATAACAGAAAATGACCAAAATATATAGTTGGCATAGTGTTCATTGGATGTACCAATTTAGTAAATAAGAATTCTATATTGGCAAAGTGAAGAATTATTATTATGTCTATGGTACCATTTTAACTCCGTTGTTGCTAGTAAATTATGTCATTGTTGTAAACTCCTATGCAGGGGTCTTTCAAGATACATATCACTATTATTATGTTGTAACTTGGAATTAAATAGTCCTTTAAAACTCTCAGCGCCATGTGGGCCCACTGCCGTTCACAAAAATTCAACTGTAGCAGGCCACTACGTATCTTTGAATGTTAACCAGCGAGCAGGGTGGGCCGCCGGCCGCCCACAAAAAGCCAAGTGCGGCAAGCCACTATGTATATTCGAATTTTACTCAGCAGGCCATGTGGGCCGCCATAGCACAATTAGGAATTCAAATTTATTTTCGATTTTTCTAGTCCCTGATCAGTCAAAGGTTGCATCAGCAAGCCGACAATATAGACACAGTCAATTATTTGGCTCTTCTGCTGGCCTGCTACAAAGGTTACTCAAGATTACACGTGGCGTGCTGTGAAAAAAATGGAAAGTTATTACTTAAGATCAGGCTGAGCGTACTGTCAAAAAAAAAGCATGTCCCGCGCGCCGCCCACGTGGCCTGCTACTTCAAAAAAATTGTTTGTTCTATGGCGTTGAGAGTGTTAAATAACTGCACAGTATCGTTACTACAGCATTTATGTCATAAAATCAACAATTTTCCTCGAACAATAGTGAATAACATACTTCATAAGACCTCAGTATCATTACAAATAAGGTGGCTGCAATTGTGAATGCATTTCTTTATTACAAGTGGTATGTCTCATGGCATGTACAGACAATACGAGAAGACTTGAAATTTTCAATTTTTCGCTTTGCGAATGTAAAGTTGCCTACATAATGAAGTTCTTCAAATGTGTTCAAATTTTACATATATGTCCTATCTTCTAAAATGATTTACAACAAAACGTGGCTAATACATGAGAGAAGGTAACATCATCTAAGGCCGTTTGCAGCAGTGAATAAATGATGCCAATTTGCGACCCTCGCGCGGCGCACCGAGCGGAAGTAGCGCCAGTTATTTGAATCCACGATCCCCGTTTCTCTCGTGGCACTGCATGTTCATACATTCATATAAATTGTTATCCTATTGAGTTTACTGACTTTGAGTAGGTATGCTACAAATTAGGCTTATACTTTGTTTGGTTTACATCTGGAGATTAATGCCACGTTAAAAGTAGCATGAGTATGACGTCAAATGTAATTTGCTTAAGTACAAAATAAGTCCAAATTTTCTTAATTTAATGAAGAATGTTCGGGTGGCAGAGTTGGCTCACATCTGGCTCTGTACTCTCGTTCTCTGTCCGACATCCTTCCGAAACAATTACTGTCCAGTAAGAAAAACTCTAGCAAATTAATAGACGCATGATGCGAATGAAAGTAATTTGGTCAAGTGTTACTTATTTGATAGTAATTGTTCCAGGCAGAGACAGACAGTGGACCCCCTGAGGATAGATTAGTTGGATGGTTTCACTTCTGGGTGTATGTGTGGTGTGTGTGTGTGTGTGTGACAAAATTCTGACTTCTCCAACATTATACTGTCTACTAAGAAAACAGAAGTGATATTAGCAATGCATTGACTAACAATAAAAAACCGCACAAGAGAATTGAAAACAGTCAAAAAGCCTTGACTGTCCCTGCATGAATGTATATGAAATTGTAATACGTTAAAATATTCAGGATACATTATTTATGTTGCAGTTATGCCATGCAGCGGCAGGAAAAGCGTCCAGACCCAGTTATTGAAGAGATAACCAAACAGGAAGCTGTGACCATAGCTGAGCCTGCGCCCAATGCGGGTCTCCCCAGTATGTATTGTACATTTATAAATGTTTATTGTTAGTTGGAATATAGTATTGTTTCGTTTTCTAATGTGTATATCCTACATATTGTCATGGATCAATTAAAATTAAATTAAGTGGACTACAAATGGAGTTCTGCCCCCGTAGCATGGCTACGCATGATAGTACCGACACAGGCGATAAAATAGCCAATAGCGCGCGCTTATTTCCATTTTATCGCGCGTGTCGTGACTATCATGCGTAGCCATGCTCCGGGGCCAGGTGCTACAAAAAGAGCTTATTCCAAGACGAATAAGGTGTGTCTTAAAATCAAGGGCATTTAAATATAGAATTTAAAACTGATAAAATACAAAAAGATTTGTAGTGACTCTTAATTATGATAAACTCCTTATTATGGTGGAATTGAAATGCCGTTGATGTCGAGATTAGTGGTGGAAGGTTGAATTGACAAATCCACTATTTAGGTTGAAAATTGTTTAATAGAAGCTTGGAAATGAGCAAATTGAATAGGCCAAAAATAGTTACCCCGTTTGAGTTAAACATCACTTTGATGCTGACAATGAATTCGTATTTGCTATTTGAATTTTAAATCTCTCATATTTGAAATGTCCAGACAAAGTTGTTTTATTCAAATATTTTGCTGTTGCTCCGACTTCAATGTTTACAAAAAATCAGTACCAAACTGGTCATTTAAGTTGGACTAGCTACTACAAATGTGTCCTACTTCAGTATAAGGGTCATCATCGTCAACTCATTATGCGTCTCACGCACGGATCTCTTCTAAGGAGAGGGTTCAATCTACATATACTGCTTTCATCACGGTATTTTCTTTCCCTTATAGCGGGAGGTATTTACCACTGATTGTTCGGTCATAATAGACACTTGACTTCTCTTTCAGTCTCTGTTAGGGTTATCTAGATTTTATTTTTATAACTTTTGTTAGTATCTTGCAAACATTGTGCCTTCGCGTGCGTCATCCATCTTTGCCTAATCAGTAACGACATTGCTTTTGCATCACAGATTGATTAGATTCAATTTCCTTGTACTTCCGCGGACATACTCATACTTTATAATTTGTGAAGTCCCATTGTTTATAATATTAAGCTTATGCTTATTTTGTATAAAAAGAAAAATTATATTCTGACCACTAAAAAATAATGATCTAAATCGGATCACACAAAAAAAAGAACAGTCGAATTGAGAACCTTAATGGTAACATTATTGAAAATATATAGGCTAAGTAAGTACTAAGTACATACAAGGCAAGGCAATTAGGTAACAACGATACTCAATATCTTGAATGATGTCAAAGTTGCACTGGGAACTCTGATTGTGATTAGGCTGATGATAGAAATTCTGCTTCTCAGGTATAGACGAGGTGACGATTAAGTGCGAGCAGCTGTATCCAATCTTGAAGGCCGGGAAGTTGAAGGTGATGATTCTTGACTGCCGCCCCGGAAAGGATTACATCGACTCCCATATCAACTATCCGGGGTGCATAAGTGTCCCTGAGGAATCCATCTCGCCAGGGTAAGGCTTGTACCAACGGTTTGACACTCGGGTTGTTGAGGATGTTCAAATTGAACCCGATTTTCTCTGTTACAAAACTTACATTCAATTTTTGTTACATTGTAAAGTGCAACAGTGGCCCAGCGGTCAGCACTGTGGGCACTGGATGTTAAAATCAATTCGGAAAACGAACTTGTAATATCGTTTCTGTTCTACGTGTTCTGGGTAGGGCCCTATAGTTAATTTCTTTGCTCTGGTTAACATAGTACAAGTAATTGTCTAGTTTGTGTCCACACAATGTGGTTGCTTAACCCACTATAACTGTGTTTTATCATTATTCAGCTCTTAATGTAAGTACCTTCTGTATTTAAAAACAAAAGATTGATGGAGGGGTCGAGATGCTGTCCTGATTTTACATAATCCAGTGCTGGTAATGTAACTTGGTTATGTACGGGTGACAAGGGGTAAATTCAGAGTTATTTGACGAGTAGTAGAATGTTATGCACGGAATTTCTCGATACCTTTGGTGTACTACTAAATAGATGCACCACGTTTGAACTCGTCAAACCGGTCAAGCAATGTACATGTAGTTTCATCTACTACTTTGACTCGTGTTAACTAAAAAGTAAGTGTTGTTATCTCGTACGTCCAGGCAATCCGCGAACGTTCTAGAGCAAAATCTACCCGCGGCGTCACAGCTCGTGTTCGCCGAGCGCGCGGCTATGGAGCTGATCGTGATCCTCGACTGGAGCAGCACCTCAATTATCCCCGGCAAGACGCTCTTCCTCATCAAGACAATACTCCTAAAGGTAAATGCCGCCTCCAAATTACATCTTACTGCATACATATCTCGCGAATCTGCCAGCTTAGTGCTAAATCCTGGAACTAAACCTACTCTAAATTAACTCAGTTCACGCGTCCTTGAGACGCACGGTGTAATTAAGGATTTTAATAAAAAAAATAGATTTTTAAATTTAAAATTCTTAAAAATCATGGAAGAAAGCACAGCTGAGTGTTAGAAACACCGAAATGCCCCGTGATTTGTTAATGAGATGTGTTTTGCTCAAATATTATTTGGTAAACTGTACTTGAGTAACTGCAAGCAGCGCGAGATCGATTTTTAATGGCAATTTTTAGGAGAGGCCCATGTCTTTCCACTGTGGTAATGATGAAACACGTTTCGGTAACGCCCAAATCTTGTGTTGCCAGTAGTACCAGAATTATAAGCGCCAAGATTGGGCAAAATCCTCTTAATCTACAAAATACTATTTTGAAATTCCTTTTGGTACACGAATCAAATAAACAGATAAACAGACGTCGTTAATTCGACTAGCAATGGATTCAACCCTGAAAAGGCAAAATCTACCACTGCATACATTGCTGTTTTAGCATTTTTGTAGTAGTAGAGCTCCGTGTGAACGAGTTCGTCCAGGGAAGTACTGCCACCTCACTTATTTCTACCGCCAAGCAGTAATGTGAGCATTACTGCGTTCCGGTTTAGAAGGGTAAGGGTGCTATAGATATAGATGTGAAGAGGGTGATATAGATAGGCGTGTCGCTTACCAACAGGCGTATGACTTGTTCGTCCCGTCACTTGGTATTGTAAAAACAAAAAGTGTATAATAAAAAACATTTACAGTGCCTCATTTTTATATTATGCAGCCAAATCGGGAGCTAAATATTGTTCTTCGTCTGTTGAAAGAAAAAAATCGAGTCCTAAATAAAGAAACCTTTATCAAACAAATCTTAATAAATGTACACTTAACTATTTGAGATGAATAAATATAATTCTAGGAGATGAAATAATTTCTTTCTAAATCGCGTATCACCCGTCAGTCACCCGCGACCATGGGACCTGTAAAAGGCCCGAAACGTTGGTTTGTTTGAAAAAACAAATATACGCGATTTAAATCTGAAAAAAATTGTTTCATTGTTAAAAAAAATGTTACATTGTATGTGTAACAATCGCGTAAACCTAAGAACTAAGTATAATTCTAGTTTCTGAAAGTGTCGAATGTAGGTTCGTTTGTCTAGGTGGCTTATCTGAACACAGCGCCATCTGATAGCGGGTGCAAAATGCAGGTAGTGCACAAGTGTACTATTTATGAAGTTAGTGCACGCGTCGCGAGCGAGCTATCGCATTTCCGGCAGATATTTCTCGGCTCGCCCGGGACGCTGGGGTGTGGTTTAGGTTCAGTTTACCGCTTTACACATTTTTCGTGACTCGCGTGAACCTGTTGAGCTTTTGGCGTGTGCAACCGTACCTGTGACTCAACAGCTTTTTGTACGTGTTCGAAATGTGAATCTTACGTGCAGAGACCTTAGCATAATTATCGTAGCGACATTGCCTCTCAGAGTTAACTGGTGATATTAATCAATACAGGTGAATGACCTCGAAATCAATGAAGCAAAATTAGTCGCGACCGGTGCACGATTGAATTTTGAGCATTCCTCTCGTCGAGTGCACATCATAATTATTTTTTGTACTTTTGGTCTAAAGTGTTGATAAGATTTTGGCAAGTGTTACAGTATATGTGGTACTGGGGGATATGGCTTGCTGTATGCGACTGTGCGTTTGCTTAATTATGAATATATGCCACAGCGAGCGATGCGCTAATTTTGTTGTAACTCTAGCGCGATTGAAGCGATCCCTTGTAAGGAAGTTTACAGTAAGCGTAAAGTTTATTATTTATTATATGCCATACAATCAATTATAATTACATACATACGAGGAATTGTCAGAAACTTGGGAATAATAAAACTAAAAATCGAAGAATGTCAAAACGTGTTCTGCCTTATATTTCTATATACGTTATGCTGCATGTCCCGGGTTCGATTCTCAGGCCGGGAGAAATATTTGTATGGCCTACATTTATTTCTCTTGTGAGTTGTAATTTGTGGTTTACTGGAATAAGTAGAAATCAATAGAATCATATTCGGCATATGTTACATTGAACGTGTGTGCGTAGGCGTGGCCCCGTAATACACCCAAATACGACTTTCCTTGTCTTGTTTGTGGTAGTGTTGCCGTAGTAGTGTCGTAGAATAAGCACTTAGCAATTATTATTTATTTTTTCTAAATAAAAGACCTTCATTTTACATCCCAGAATTCAGAGGCTATAACTATGCACTTGGAAGCAGACAGTTAAATTTGAGCTTTATTTATATTCTTGACGACAATTGAAGTCATCAAAGGCTGACCATCGATACTATTCTGGATACAACGGAAAAGGAATGTCAATACGAATCCACTAAACATTGTCTGTGAAAAAATTCGGATGTAAAACGAGCAGTTTCATGACAGTGTTCGATTTTTATGAGTAAAATTATTATTACTTAGGTAAAATTTTACACTTGAAAACGTAATTTTTTAAGTCAAAGTCAAAGATGTTTTATTCCATAGGTAAAATAAATTTACACTTGAAAACGTCACATTTA